AGAAGTCTTAGTGCAATAAGACAAGAAAAAGAAATGAAACTGTTATTCATAGACATGATTTGTTTGAAAAATCCAGGGGAATATAAAAAGCAAATGAGTACATGAATTTCACAAGGTCGATGGAAAAATAACTGTACTTTATATACTATTAAGAAATCACTAGAAAGCAAAATGAGAATACAGTCTACCGTTGTATTAAAAGCCCCCAAATACCTTATAATAAATCTGATGAAGGATGTCTAAGACATGTACATTAAAACAGCAGAACATTGCTGATAGGGATTTAAAAGACCTTTCCAGGTTTCCAGGTGTGGAATTGCCTGGAAGGGGGTTCCAGAGAACATTCTATGGGACTGAAATCTGTATCTTGCTTAAGGTACTAGACATCTGTTTGTATACGGTAGCCAGAACACATTGAACTGAGTACTTAAAGATTTGCGTTTTCTTTTGTGTAAATTGAAGCTCAACCCTCAGACTTCAGAGACTAGCAGGAGTTTGCTCTTCACATGGAATGATCACTGTGAGGTGCAGCCCTATAAACTCCACACACCGTGGGGATAATGAGGGATCAATGTTAGGAGAGCCTTGTGAGCACCCCAGCCTTTGAGCACCCCAGCACTGGAGAGAAGGGCAGTTGCACAGGCTACTGACATTCTCTTTGACAGGGGTCATGTTTGGGACGCAGTCAGGAGCCCACCCTGTGCAGGTTTTTGCTGGGACTAGGGGAGGCTCTGATACCTGCTGGCAGAGTAGCAGTGAGTACATGCTCACCCATGTCTGCTTGCGGCCATAGCTGCTTGCTGCTCCAGTGTTCAAGCCACACCTGGATCTCAGGCTGGCCATCAGTTCCACATCTCCCACCCCGAGGTTCAAGCATCCATCTGATGAGAAGGAAGGTTTCCAGCTGAGATGACGCCTTGACCCAGAAGCTCAACGAGTCTGCACTTGAATTTCTGCTCTTCCCCATGGAGGCCTGGGGACTGATTAAAGCCAGTGACCCAGAGCGATCGTAAGCTCTTTGCTCGTTAGAGTGCCCCCATGTGCGTGTCCCAGAGATGCTCCAGACCCAAGGGGCACTGAAAGTTTAGTGAAGAAAATAAGGAGCTAAGTCACTAAAGGGGAACTAAGTTTGAAATCAGGAGCTCTTTCTTGGAATCATATTACCTCCAGTAAAATCGTATTACATGTAATGAAGTAAGTGTCAGAATGCAGCATGCCCCATGAAGACCCAAATCAAGCGGATGTCATTGTCGTTTCCTTGGCCAGCCTGAGCCGTCCTGGGATCCCCACTCCCCAAGGAGAGCAATTATCCCAATTTGTTTTATTGCATTAGTGTGGGCAGAGCTGAAGAAAGGGGCTTTCTTCCTTCCTGCGGGAGCACTCGAGAGACCAGACCTCGGACTCCAGCCTGGGGGCAGCATGGGAATTTCTGGGAAATGATGTCTGCAACATTCTGACCTATGGCCCCCAGCTGCAGCACCAGCCCCCCACCCCCGCCCGCTAACACAGGCACCAGGCTTAGCTCCTCAGCACCGTCTTTGTGTCTCCATTTCCAGCCACTTGTCTCAGAAGTACCCTCAGGAGGAAGGCAGCCACTCGGCTCCTGGTGGTCTAGAAAGTCACCCAGTCCTAAATGCTTCCAAGGGCCTGCGACAATTCCTTCCACCCACTCCATGCAGCCCCGCTTCACAGTCTGTCTGTCACAGGCAGGTGTCACGAAGGCAATTTTCAGAGGGTCTCCAGGATTTGAGAGAAGGCAGAATAAATTATAAAGTATGACTGCAGTGATTTATCTCCCCGACCACACGTTGCAGTCAGAGCGATGTCCCGTGACTGGGTGGTACTTAACTGTGTGCACGTACACTCGCCATTATGGGTGTTTTCTATTATTGCACCTTGGGGTCAGAAAGCACCAACACCACCAAACTGCTGCCGGAGAGTAAGAAGTGGGGCCAGGTGGTAACACTGAGTTGGCGGGGGCCCTTCAAATACGGAGACAGGTCAGGCACTGTGATTGCTCACATAACACGGCACACTAAGCAGTGCTGCTCAAATGCAGCAGTCACCACACACCCCGAGACATGGGGTCCCCTCACAGAGCACACGGGGTTCCCTCACCTGTTAAAGGTGCACATGGGGCCCTGTGGGCCCGGCTCAGCTCCCGTAGAGAGAAGCGGCATGCTACTTGGTCAGGGCAGAATTCAGGGTGCCTTTGCCCCTATTGGCACAACCTCCCCCAATCACCCCTGAGAGGCACACCAGACACCGCGCCTGCTCGTGGGAGCAATGGCCTGTCCCTCTACGCTTGTGGGCTGTTCATTAGTGCTCAGGGCTCCAGGGTCCACAAGGCACCTCCTCTGTGGAAAAGGAGCAGGCAGGGACCCTGGCGATGATAGAACAGGTGTATGTTCAAACTGAGGCTCTGTGGGCAGAGCTGTCCATGGTGCGCAGGTACTCGTGATGAAAGGAGGTCACCTCCCTGTGCTGTTGCCCCTGACCTTTCTGCAGGCCTGGTAGTGCCCCCTGCAACCCGCATCAGGTGTGAGGGACTCGTGCAGCCTTATAGAACTGGATGTTCTGTGGTGTGACGCCTTGGAATTTCCCGTTTCTTAATGGGAGTTTTTAAGATGAGTGTTCTCATACCCTTGAGCTTCAGAGAGGAGCCCATCTGCAGCCCTCAGTCTCTTGCCTTTATGCTCCTGCCTCCCACCCACTGCCTGTAAGGGCTCGGCTGCCCTGGAAAGTTCCAGCATCCTGGTGTTCCCAGCCCCAGGCAGAGAGCAGGAGTTGTATGGACAGCTGTGGGTCACTCAGCTCTCTTTGGGTCTGCATATTAGTGGCTTATCTGTGCCGGTATTTTTTTTTTCTTTCAGAATTAATTTTGGGCTGAAAAAAGTCTCAAAGAAGGCTTTGTTCCTTTGACACTTACTCTGGAAGAAAAAAAATCTGTGGAAAATCTGACATCTGCATTGTAGGGAGAAATCAGTAGATGGGGAGGAATATAATTATCCTCCGCTCCTGAAAGAATGTCTCGGATTTTTAAGTGTCTTATATCAGCTTAGAGTTTGAATGACATTTTAATTATTTTGTTTTTTTTCTTCTTTGCCTGGTTTGAATCTCCAAAGAGTACCATTCTCAGATTCTGAAGGGATGCAGGGAGTGGAGCTGTGCTCATGAGGGAGCCTCGTATGACCTCATGGCTGAGGTTGTCTGCAGAACAAGGGGCACCATCGGAAACGAGGGGTTTTCATGGGAAACCAGCAGCTCTGCCACAGGCAGGACGGGCTCACCGAGGTCTGGGTCATTGCCACCTTTGACTTTTTGAAGCTCTGTTTGCACACATGCATGACTGTACATGGCCAAATTCAGACTGGAGGTTGTCTCTGGCACTTTGTGACGTAAGCAAACCCAGTTTCCAAAAAGATGTGACTCTCCACTTTGCAGAGTGGTTCACTCATCTTTATTCTTGGAGCACAGCGTCACACTGGCACCACGGCTCCGTGACGTTGGCGGCAGCAGGTGCAGCTGAAGGCCAGGTGGGCTCAGCCCCACTGAGGTGTGAGGCCCATGTGGCCCCCACAAGCCCCTCCACATTTCTCCTCCCTGACCCTTTGGGGGTTCCTGAGTCCAACCACCCACACCAGCTCCGGTCCCTCTGCCCATCCTGCATCCTCCATGTTTTAGATGTGTCCAGAATCAGACATGTCCCACCTCCCAAGTCGTCATTCTGCTTTGCTGGGCATATGGCCACCAGAGGACCCGTCGGCTCACACTCTGGTCTCTGGCTCAGAGCCCTCAGCTGCCCCAGAGTCTTTCCCATGTGTAAAGGTCAGTTCTGTGCACCAGCCAGTCTCATCCACTGCCCCCAGTTGTGCAGTCAAGCACTGATCTTGACGCCGCAGCAAGAGTGTTTCACAGACATGATTCAAGTTTAGGGTCAGTCGACTTTAGTGCAGAATACTGTCCTGGGCAGCCTGGGTGGTGTGTGGGTGGATGGAGGGAGGGAGGAAGGGTGAAACTGAGGCAGTCATAGCTGCAGAAGCCACTGTCACAGGAGAAAGCTGAGTTGCATTCCAGGGTTGTATCTTTATCAGCACAGTTTCTTTCTAACTTTCTAATCCAACTATTACATAAGAGACCAAAATTGGAACTGAATCTCTGTATCTCAAGCAATGTTTTTATTCCTGGTAGGAGAACGGTTGGTTTCTGACTTAGGAAGGAATCTTGTGGCGAGAAAGAGGATTGTTAGTGGGGAAGGGGCAGGCATGTGAGCTGACTCTCCTCCTTGCAACTGCAGACTGGCTGTGATGTAGACGTTGCATGGCGTCCTGGGAGCTGCACAGGGTGCAGGGGAGCTGACGGTGCTGGGGTGGCAGCCAGCACCCCAAAGCTCACCCACAGGCTGTTAACGGAGTTCCTTCTCCCTACAGCCACTCTCCCAGTGGAACAGGCTGCAAAGTAGCCGCCTGGAGGAGCTCCGGGGCCTGAGCACCAGAGGTCCCTGGGGGCCATGAAGCAGTAGTGACCCTTCGGGGAGATAGATGGGTGGACATATTGGTCCAGCCCGCCTGAGCTGCTGAATAGTGTGTCATCACAGCAATTGCAACATTGTCCCTTTCACATCCTCCTTGGCGTCTGTAGAAATGTGACTAAGGTTGGGTATATGTAGCTTTGCAAACTTGTCCGTTTTTAAAGCCTTTCAATTGCATCACTGTGCCGATGCTCACAGTCTGAAAACTGAGTTATAAAGAAAGCACGGAAGGAACTGGCTGCAGCAGAACACCAGCGTTCTTTTTCTCTGTAGCATTTGCTGACTTCTTGTCATTAAAGCCTTTGTGAATCTTACCCTTTACATCACTTCAGGTGTAAGATAAAATTTGTTGCTCCCTTAAAGTTCCTTTTAGCTTAGTTTCTTCCCCCAGCAGCAGTTCTCCTGTCCCCAGGGATCCTTGCCGTTCTGGGGAGTTGATTCATGTTGCTTCCTCTCCTTGCCTTGGCAGGGTCTGATCAAGGTCCGGGGGGACCAGTGCTGGCAAGACCTCACCTGCATGGACTTCCACTACGAGGTGAGGAGCGATGATCTGTTGACACAGATTTCCGCCCACTGGATACTCCTTCCTGCTTCCTTTTTCTAAGAGGCAGGGTCCCACTTGCTGAGGCTGGCAGAAAGGGGCATCTGGCCACCACGGTTGTGGGTCTGGATCACCTGGTTATGGGCACCTCGTCCCTCTGCTGCTGTCCCCAGTCCCGCCCAGACCTTGGATGCCAGGCCAGGCACCCTCCCTCCTGGAGTCTGAGCTGGCCCTTTTGCCCACCCCCCCAGCCTCCATGGATGTGGGTACAGGCATGTCTCAGCTTCTTGGAGGACAGGCCCTAGTCATACTGTGTTCAAACCCCCAGGCCCCTCCCCACCTTGACCCCGGAGTTTTGGACACGCTCCGCCCACCACAGGGCCGAGGCCCGGGTGCAGCCCCTCTAGACATTCCTGTCTCTGCTGACTGCTGGCCTCTGCATGGGGAGGGGGGGCTAGGGTCATTTTTCCTTAGGAATTGATATGAGGGCACTTGGCATCGAAATGTCATTCATCTCAGTAATGTCGGCTCACTGCGTACAGAGTACATGCCTGTCGGGTGTCCATTCTCATGTTGGACTCATGTCGCTCTTGTTGGCAGTGAAAACCTTGATGTGTCTAGAGCCCCGCCCATCAGACAGAATGTTTTCTCTCTGAAAGGTGGCTTGCAGACAGTCTTATGCCTTCTGCAGCTTTCAGTCCCAAGTGGGTTCAGTCCTGGATGTCACCTGAGTCTGGGGTAGCACCCGCTTCCTGCTGTGACTGTGCTGTTCAGGGCTGTGTCATCTGTTAAGCAGCCTGGGATAGGAGCGCCCACTGTGTGCTGCGCTTAGGAGGTCAGACTTTATTTCAGGGTGTGGAGATCACCCCGCAACTCACTTAGTGTGCCTCAGAGTGACCTCTCCTCCTACCCAAGGACGCATGTGGCCCACCCCCGGTTCTAGAGCTGACCTTTCAAAAAGTGCCTCAGAGGAAATGTTCTAGCTGGGCAGGAGAGAGTGTGGGTCCCCATGGTCTGGGCCAAAGGCCCTTGCTCTGTCCCTGGCCTGCCTGCCAGCACCCTCAGCCACCCTGTCAACACTGACCCGAAGTGTGAAGACCATGTGTGTTCCCTTGACCCCTTGAAGGGCATCAGAGCCTGGTGAACAGGCTGCGCCTATCAGTCCCTGGGGTGCAAATACCCATGCTCTCTGCACATGCGGCCCTCTGGCCAAGGTGGAGGCAGCTTCAGGACTTCTGTGTTAGGACAATGGAAGGGGCCTTGGGGGGCAGAGGACAGAGCTGGGTGAGTGTCCCCAGGAAGGAATGGAGTTGGCACACACCGGGACAGAGCTGGGATTGGGCAGGCTGTGGAATGTGGCTACCATAGCTCTGGCTTATGAACCAAGTCCCGGGGACAGCCTGCAGACTGTGACATTGGTGTGTGTGAGCTCAGACCACTCGGAATCGACGTTCTAGGACAGGCCAAGTCATGGCTTGTTGAGCACCGGGAACGTGATGGCCGCCGCTCACGTTGGGTCCGGGCTGAACGGAGTGGTGCTCTGAGGCCCTGTGTGCTCAGTGCTGCTGTCAGAGTGCGGGCCGCAGCTTCCGAGTCAGGCCCTTCGGAGGGACCGAACCTCCTGACGCACTGTAGCCGCAGAAGCCTTTCCTCAGCAGGGTCTTGTTTCAACACCCACTTCATAAGCTGGTTTGGAGTGAGGGCACTGACTGATGTCTCCTTAGGGGCCAGGCCATGCTGTTTGCTGACTGCAAACCATTCAGTTCATCCCTTTGAAGTTGTCTGTGCCCCTGGGGCAAGGATGGGTGGGCCTCATGGCCTGTCCTCTGTGACCTGGACTCCTAGTCCATGGCCAGCGGCAGCGGGGGGTCCAGGTAATGGTGGGGACTGTGTGAAAATAGAGGGTGCCTCATTCACTGGCATGGCTTTGCTGGAGAGGGCCTCCTGAGAGGGACCCGCTGTGGGAGGCGGCCAGGCTGGTGGGGGTGTCCAGAACAGCCTGGGAAGCAGGGAGAGGCTCCCAGTGAGGCAAGAGCTCAGGCTCCTCTCCCCTCTCATCATTGCCTCTGTTTCACCTTGAACTTTGCTGTTACTGGGGATGCCCTTTTACATGGTGTTACCACGGCTAGGCTTGGTGAAAGCCTAGGACATCAGGAGATCACAGAGCTGAGCCCTGGCACGTCTGGTGCTTAGGGTTGTGTGAGTTCTCCCAAGTGTCCCCACCCTGCGAGGGAATGGCAGCTGAGTCCCACTCACCCAGACCCAGCTGGTGGGTGGAGCGCTGGTGGGACTGGCATCAGCCCACCCTCCTGCCTCTTGGACGCAGCCCACGTCCTCAGGACGTGTGTGAGGCCTGAGGCCTGAGGCCCTCAGGCTGTCTTCCTGCATCCTCACCATCTGGACAAGGCATCAGGTCAGAGATATACTGTCCCAAGGCATCAGGTCAGAGATATATGTTGTGTTTGGAGACCTAGAGCACATGGCAGGAGCCTGGTGACACTCCTCCATGATGTCTTTAGCAGCACAGAGAGCAAAATGAGCAGCATCGCCATTGCAATTCACTGCACAAGTCCAGGAGCCCATACACTGTTGGGTAGGAGAGGCCCACTCTGCCAGTCGGCCTCGGCCTGAAGGGCCCATGCACCCACGCAGCCACTTGCCTTTCCATCTACTCACAACTAGGAGGTGGTTGGTGGTGAGCTCAGTCAGTCAAGTCAGAAGCAACACTGGGCAAGTGTCTTTCTAACACAGATCGTTATTCACAGCAAGAGAAAGGGCAGGTGGCCTCTGCGTGATGCTCCACCACCAAGCGCAGTTCTGCGGATTTGGCGACGGTGGGACCTGCAGCCACATACAGCCAGTGTCCCTGACATGTCCAAGGCAGAGAAATGCTCTGAAAGCCTCCATCTGAAAACCAACGTGCTCTGCTCCCACACTCAGTGAAACCACCCACAAGCAGTGCCCACAGGCGCGCCTCAGCTGTCAGACATAAAGGAAAGGAAAGGAAAGGAAGAAAAATGAATGTAGCTTACCTCATAGTAGTTTTATGTTTTGTCCAATTACCTTTAAAATATGCAGCGTTCCACTTGGAACACTAAGAACGTGCTCTTAACGGCAAACTGGCGTTTCTTTGTGGACCGTTCTATACTGTCAACCTGCGGCCATTGGTGCCAGTTCAACACCAGTGGGAATCCACAGTTCGGGATGTGCTAAAGAAGGAAACAGTTGAGTGTGATACATCATAGCTGTGAACACAGCATGGCTTTGATGCAGCCCTGGGACTGGGCTCCTCTTCGACTAGATAGCTCTGCTACTGACTCCTCCCCTCTGCTTTGGCCTGTGCTGGTCTAATCTGTGCTGAGACAGCTCTGATTTCAGCTCAGCCAGGGAAATGCAGTCTTCAATCCTGGGTGGAATGGGAAAGTGTGCTCCTAGATGTGCCTCTGCCCCCCAGGGGAGCTGGCTTATATGGATGGAAGTCCCCACCCGGATCCCTAATTGGTCTGTCCTCATGCAAATGAGGACTCCAAGTCATGAAAGTTTGATTGGTCCAAAAGGCACTGTCCTGATTGGTCAGATTAGAGCTGCTCTGGTTGGTCAGAGCTATGCATCTCCAGTTGGATTGGGAAAGGCTCGGTCCTATTGGTTCAAATAGGATTCCAGGGACTCTTTTGCAAGGGCTGGCTCAGAGGGCAGAAACCCGGGGCAGGCAGGCAGTTCAATGCAGGCAGCTCCCTGAAGTGGTAGGCTGTTTTGTTTTGTTTTGTTTTGTTTTGTTTTGTTTTGAGCCCAGTGAGCTACCAGGAGGCCTCCTAAGTAGGTATCTTCTTTCTCAGTGTCCACAATACAGATGAATCAAAATTTTTAAAATATATTTTATTGATTATGCCATTATACTTGTCCCATTTCCCCCCCTTCATTCCCCTCCACCCTGCACACCCCTCCCCCACCATTCCCTCCTTTTAGTTTATGTCCATGTGTCACAAGTTCTTTAGATTCTATATTTCCCATACTATTCTTGCCCTCCCCCCATCTATTTTCTACCTACCATCTATGCTACTTATTCTCTGTACCTACTCCCCCTCTCTCCTCCTCCCACTCCCCTTTGCTAACCCTCCATGTGATCTCCATTTCTATGGTTCTACTCCTGATCTAGCTGTCTACTTGGTTTGCATTTGTTTTAGGTGTGGTTGTTAATAACTGTGAGTTTGCTGTCTTTTTACTTTTCATATTTTTTATCTTCTTTTTCTTAGATAAGTCTCTTTAACATTTCATATAATAAGGGCTTGATGATGATGAACTCCTTGAACTTGGCCTTATCTGAGAAGCACTTTATCTGCCCTTCCATTCTAAATGAAAGCTTTGCTGGATAGAGCAATCTTGGATGTAGGTCCTTGCCTTTCATGACTTGGAATACTTCTTTCCAGCCCCTTGTTGCCTGTAAGGTCTCTTTTGAGAAATCCGCTGACAGTCTGATGGGAACTCCTTTGTAGGTGACTGTCCCCTTATCTCTTGCTGCTTCTAGGGTTCTCTCCTTGATTTTAATCTTGGCTAATGTAATGATGATGTGCCTTGGTGTGTTCCTTCTTGGGTCCAACTTCTTTGGGACTCTCTGAGCTTCCCGGATTTCCTGGAAGTCTATTTCCTTTGCCAGATTGGGGAAGTTCTCCTTTATTATTTGTTCAAATAACTGTTTCACTTGTTGCTCTTCCTCTTCCCCTTCTGGTATCCCTATAATTCGGATGTTGGAACGTTTGAAGATGTCCTGGAGGTTCCTAAGCCTCTCCTCATTTTTTTGAATTCTTGTTTCTTCATTTTTTTCTGATTGGATGTTTCTTCCTTCTGGTCCACTCCCTGGATTTGAGTCCCAGTTTCCTTTCCATTACTATTGGTTTCCTGTGCATTACCATTCATTTCAATTAGTTTAACCTTCATTTGTTCCTCTAATTTGTGACTAAAATCCACCAGTTCTGTGAGCAACCTGATCACCAGTG